AGAACCATGCTGAGGCAGCTGGGCCACCCAGGAGCAATCTGCTCGAAGCCCTATGGGGATGGGCGGGACTTCATCAGGCATAAAGTAGAGCTATCAGCATCTCCAGGAAAGCCAAGTGAGGGTTGGTGTGGCAGCCCAGCCTCTGATTAAATGCTTTCGTCTAGCTTGCGCTTAATGGCACCTGAGGCTTGCTTGTCTCCTTATATCCACCTTCGATGTGTGGCCCCTGTGCCATCTTGTCTTTTTTATAGCAGGATCCAAGCACACTGGGGTGATTGACCTGCCTGATAGCATGGGGGTTGATGAGGGCTTTGTATTCATGCCCTCTGGGCCCAGATGGGTCATCAGTGGCAATGAGGCTATAGGATGAGTGAACAACAGTTTCAGTTGCCAGGGGATGATAGGTTACCTGGGAGGAGGACTTTCAGTGCGAGCACCTGGACAGTCCCTTGTTCTGCAGTGCTATGTACAGTAGCGAGGCCTGGAGGCAGCCTGTCCATCGACAGATGGCTGGGTCAAGAAGCCAGCCATCGGATGCTATTTCACCATAAGGAAGGCTGAAATGCAGCCACTTTTTGAAAGTGGGGTGAGTTTGATGCCGTGGAGTATAGTAAAGCAAATCGGAATGACGGAAATATACTGGACGTTTACGTAGAAGACGATTTGATAAAGGAGAGTCTTTATAAAATCTAGGGCTGTTAATAAACACAATGAGGGCTCTGAAGCTAAGGAGAGTATAAGGGGATCGGGGGAGTGTGTGGGGAAAGAAGGACAAAGCCAAAGCCTGGACACCCCCCGACCAGGCTGGCCAGTGCTCAAGAAGGCTCTTCTGCAGCCCTTTCCCCGCTTCCTAGTGGAAGTGGAAGTCCCAGAGACTGAACTTCAGGCTCCGTGCTGTGCAGCCTGCCTTCAGCTGAGGGTCTTCATTGGGATTTGAAGAGTAATCCCGAGTCCTCACAGAGGGATCGGCGCCTGCCAGGGGCTTCACGTGCTGCCACGGTACAGACCCATGATGCTCTGATGAAATTCCAGCAGGAGGCACCCAATTAATCACTGTCTCCTTAACCAGTTCTACACACACCCCCCTTTCCTGGGTGGTGGCTTCTGAGCATCTCCCTTGCCAGTGACCCCTATGGAGTGCATTCTAGCTTGAAGATCTGGGACCTGTGTTTGTGCCTGCTGCAAGCCCCAGGGAATAAACAATGCTCTCTCATCTGGGTCTCAGAGCATTTTCTGTTGCTTTGTTTTTAACTATTGCTGAGATTCTGCCTCCAGTAGCAACCAGAAGCATGATTAATAGGAGGAAGGGGTATACTCATCGGAACCAAAGCCATGCCTGGGCTGTCCCAAGTGGTTGCATTTGCTCAAGATATAGCAAGAAGCTCATGAATCACTTGTCACATTCAAGGCCCTCTGCCGTTGTCTTGAATGCCCCTTCTGGCTGTCAGAGTAATATAAGCTACTGTGTCCCGTGTAATAGCTGGACTTTGTTGCTATATCAATCTTTTTGCAAGGTCTATATCCTTTTCTGACCAGCAAAACATGTAGCTTATTGGTTCTTTATTACCCAGAGTGATGGCTCTACATTTCAGAGTTGGATAAACTATGAGGTTTTGCCTAACCTGCACTTTGCAACTGCAGCAGATGGCAAAGGATGTCAGCCATACGTCAGGTCTCATTCATCTTGTGCCTTGGAATTTTCAGATAGCAGCATAGACATCTCTCTGTCTAAGGGTTTTCTTCCTTTGACTGAAGGCAACTCTGCATATGTGTCCTTCGTGCATGGCCCTTGGGAACAACTTTCAGCCAGTGACTTTGCCCAGTGCCCTTGCCATTAATAGCATATCTTGAGTGTGTTCTCTCTGAGTGGGGTTAAGCTCTAGTGGCTCACAGTGGAGGCTGCTTTGATAACATACCTTTCTCCCCTTCATACCTCCCCACTCGTGACTGGTGTTGCTTTTACTTAGTTTTTTTTTTTTTAAGAGTTATTTATTTATGCATACAAGAAGTGGGGTACAGGCCACCAGAGACAGAGTGGGGAGCAGAACAGACAGAACTACTGAAATACACTGCTGAGGGGAGCAGTGGTTGAGACAGGAGAGGTCTGCTGCACCTTGTGGGTCAGCTCCCTGGCTGGGGATTGAACTCATGCTGCAGATAGCGTGATAGTGCTGCGCTTTAACCTCTTGCGCTACCAGACAGGGCTTACTAATGTTGCTTTTAACTTCCAAATTAATGACTTGAGCTCAATCCTTATCTCAGTCCTTATCTCAGTCCTTATCTGCTTCTGAGGATCCCAAACTGAGACAAATCAATTATTGGATATCTCATAATCCTGGGATCTCTGACTACAACCTACTTTCCACTGGTAATGTGAAGAATACTTTAACCGTGCATTCAACATGTGCACTATAAAGTTAAGAGGAAATGACTGAGGGACCCTCCCGGTGGCACAATGGGTTAAAGCACAGCACTATGAAGCAAGCTGCAGCTGCTTCAGGATGAGTTGGATCCCCACCCTGGAGGTGACCCACATGGCACAGCAAACTTTTCCTGTTTCACCCTTCAGGAGTGTACTTCATCAATCTGCCAGATCTGCTCCCTTCAGCAGTGTACTTCATCAATCTGCCAGATCTGCTCCCTGCTCTGTCTCTGGTGAATCCTCTCACCGCTCCTGCATCTCTGGCCTATACCCCAGTTCTATATGCTTAAATAAATAATTTTTTTTTTTAAAAAAGAGGAAATGATTGACTAAATGAAAGGAAAAATGTTTCCTTCTTCCTTTCCTTCCTGTCTGCCTGCCCTTTGTACCTTCTCTCAAATATTTATTGAAAAAACTTAAAAGATGTAAACTTAAATCTCTAAGGACCCAGGTAAGTGGTGTTTATGTGTGAAGCAGACGTCAGGCAATTGGGAGTGGTGGAGTCTGTGGCAAACAGTACACCCCTGGTAAAGGGCACTTACTGCTCCTTTTCATCCTTTTACCATTACTACGTTTGTCAGAAAAATCCTAGCTGCAGGATGCTAACGTTTAAAGACAAGCGCATGAACTGCATTTGTGTAACAGGTAATTATCTGACTCCTTTGTCTAGGTGGGGATCATTTTTCAGAGGCAGATTTGCCTTTCGAGTGGCCGGACAACTGAAATAACAGGGTGGGAATCTTTGCTAATGTACATTACACCCATGTTCACAAAATTTGATAATACTGACCCAAAAATGTCACCTTGAAGCAAGGAAGGAAACATTCTCATAGTCTGGGGAAAGTCAAATGAGAAATCATGTAATTTTCATCACACTCACTTCACTCTCTGAAATATTTACATGCTGTCATCTGAAAATAAGTCATAACAATTTTCCCCTTACGTTTTGGCTCACTTGGCAAGCTTGGCAGAGCAACACACTTGAAAGGGACTTTTTAATTGTAGCAGGAGAGGTTACAGATGCAGAAGAGATAAATATCCAGTCTTGAGATGTGGTGGGAAAATGCAGAGGTCTGTGGAAAATGACAGAAACCTGACCCAGGGGTGCCTGACTCTCTTTTAGCCTTCGGTGTCAAAAAAAAACAAAACCCAAAACACTTCTTACTGAAAAATGTTGGGAGAAGGGGCATCTTCCCAGTATTCTCTGGGGTACCTGTTGCCACCACATTCTGGGCTTGGGTGTGTAACCATGTCTCCAGCTACACAGTGAAGAATTCAGTAAGGAAACAAGCTGTATCAAAAACTTCATTTGAAAACTTCCTAAGGATCCAGACATTGAAAGAGGCCAACACCTCTCCCACTTTGCCACTCCCACACCCTACTCCCCTCCCCACTGGTAAACTCCCTCAGAAAACTGCATCATGCTTCTCAAACGTCAGGGGTCCTTGTTGCTGTCTCAAATGGACTGACTGTCAAGTGACAAAACATTACTTCATTATTTCCCAAATGGGCATCGTTCAACTCTAGTGATTGATGTTTGGTCATTGTTATGGATGCTGTTCTCTTCTGAGGGTAGTTTACAAATTTTATATTACTTAGGATTCAGAGGCTTAGGTTGAGTGGTTACACAAAAATTGATACAAACCCAAAAGCTGAGGAGTGATTTTTTTTGACTTACATAATTTATTTTTGAGCATATTAAAGCATTTCTCTCTCTTTTTTTGTTTTTTAAAAATAATATAATAGTTTGTTTTTACATCATTTTGTACATTTTTTTTTCCATCTCAATTGTAATTCCTGTGGGTTTCCCATCACTGAGTCACCCATGTGCCATCACCATAGTCCTGTGCACTTCCCGCCTCTCCTCCCCCCCACCCCCCGTTTTTGATCCCATTCCCCACTCCACCCCTACAAAATGTCTCTGGTATATGGCTGTTCATTATTCTTATTATTTTCTCGCCTGGTCCATTATACTGCTGAGGAGTGATTTTTTACAGGCTATGGTTAGCAGAGAGAAGAGGGGGTGGGGGTCACAAAACCCAGCCTAAAACTACTTACCTTGCTGGATTCACTTAGTGCTGAGCTTCCTGGCAGCCAAGGGAAAAAGCAAACCCTAGCAGGCTAAGGTCTCAGGGTAACTCCCCAGAAGCAGAGCTTAAGGCAGGGTCAGGTGAACTTATTGAGGGAGAACTTTCAGGAGAAACCTGTGACCACAGGAGTGAGACAGGAGAGGTGAGGGAAGAAACCCCAAAGTGATGTAGACTTGAGTGAGACATGTCTAACCTTGGTCTAATTCATGGGTTTGCGCAGGGCACTAGCACAGAACTTACCCAAGAGTGCAGGACAGAATGGGATCCTTCTCCCTCTCCTTTGCAGGCACCACCCTACAGCATGGTCTCAAGTGCTCCCCTGCTCTTCTCTCTGTCAATGCTTGTCATTCACAAACCCCATTTTGAGACCCATGTCTTGCAGGGCCTGAACTAACACACAACTTCACCTCTGCCTCCTGTCTCAATCCTTGCCTCTCCCCTGTGCCCTGTAAGTGGACCGGGCCATGTGGAGGCAGCAGTGACTGTACCTTGTTCACGCCATCGGCCATCGCCTGGAGTGTGAGCTCTCTGGGCCCATCCACTGTCTTCCCGTTGTCTGTGGGGCCCCAGCTGGCACTGTAGATATCGATCAGTTGCGGCATGTGGCTGATGGAGGAGGCCTCGATGATGTCTGTCATGAAAGGCTGGTCCAGCATCCGGATTCCTGCAGACATGCAGGGAAACACCCTTCTTTGATGCCCAGTTCAGAGGAGAGGGGGCCCGAAGGTGGGGGCTTGGGTGTGCTTAGGGGATTGACTCGGGTGCCCAAGGAAGCTGTAGAATCCTGGGTCAATCTTGAGCTCTGTGGGTTACTTAAGAGGATCCACCAGGGGGCATAGATCCTTCCTCCCCATCCTTTCGGACTTTACTCATACCTTTCTTGATATGACCACTTGAGGAAAAGTTTATTACTCAGTCAATGTACTGGAACTCCTAGTGGTGAGAGAACACCTTTGTGGAAGAGTCCTTTGTGAGTCTCTTTCTAAGTGAAAGTTCATGCTACAGGAATTGGAGATTGATTGGAATCAAGTGTTTGAGGAAAAGTAAAGCTACTAAGCATGTCGTACACAGGCATCCCCTCCACTACATCTGCGCAGCGAACCTTATTTTGAGGTCCATGGCTGGCATGGTGGTGAAGGTGACAGGTGGTGGAGGAAGCACTTCAGGAGAAATCCCAGCGGAGAGAGGGCCGAGGGCAAGAGCAGAAAGAGGGACAGAGACAGAAAGTTTGTGGGGTGTGTCAGGAAAAGGGAGCCGCCCAGTTGTACTGCAGCTGAGAAGGCACTTTGGGGAGGTCACAGAGTGCCCTGGGTTATTCTAAAATAGATTACTAGTGGTGTTTGATACACCCCTCCCGCCCCAAGGCATTTTTGTAAAAGTTGGGACTCTTGGAAAGATTGGACCATTCTGATGTCTTGTAGGAGTGGCTTCTTGCAGGGAGCTGAATGGAGCAGGGGATTATAGCCCAGGATTGCATGGGGGAATTTGGTCCATGCACGGGTACACAGGAGAGGAGCCATTCCCACAGGCTCCAGAAGGTGATTGACATCACCCCGACTAGTCTTTAAAAATCCCCTTCTGGGTTAACAGTGTAGCAGTCACTGGGTTAGGCAGTCAGTCCCTCCATCAGTACCCCCAGTCTCACTGGGACCATATTGCTGTCTCCTTAATATATTATTTTGTGGCAAGGAGCCTCGAAGTTTGTGAAGCTGACCTAAGTCTTTCTGTCTGTGGGTTTTATGAAATGAAGGAGTTGGGCTGGACACAGCAAATCCTGGAGCCTGACACTCTTCACTTCTCCCTGAGGTCAAAGGACATCATTACATATGTAACTTTCTCTAAATCAAATGGATTTGATTTAAGCCAAGCCATTCAGGTCCTTGATGATGTTTGAAATGGATGCAGAGCTGTCTTCTCTGTTAAGGGTCACTCTTCTCTCCTCCTGGACTCCATGGCAAATTCTCCCACGACTCACCTTCTGTCCAGTCTATGTGCTCAGTCTCTCTGGGTCATTATTTTCTTTATTTAAAAGATTTGTTAATTTTCTGTGTAGAAGAATTGGGGTGTAGGTTAGAACTGCAGGGGGGTGGAGAGGATTCATCAGAGACATAGTGGGGAGCAGAACAGGTAGATGTGCAGAAATACACTGCTGAGGGGAGCAGCGGGCAAGACAGGAGAGGTCTGCTGAGCCATGTGGGTCAGCTCCCTGGCCAGGGATTGAACTGGTGCTGCAGTGGCTGCAGTAGCTTAAAGCTCAGACTTCAGTTGTTTATTTGAGTGCTTCCTTCACCATCAGCCAGTGGAGTCTTTGAGACCAGGGGATGCATCTGTTTTGTTCACTTTAGTGTCCCATGGTACTTGGAATATATCTTAAGCTCGATAGACACTCGGTGAATAAACACATGAGGGCATTTATTTAGTTGATTTTCTCCCTAACAAAAGTAACAGGCCCAGAAGAACAACTAATAATAGGTCCCGATTTTCCACCCTCAACCATCAACTGATATCAAGTTATACACATATATGTAAAGGGTAAGCATATATGTATATATAATACTTAGTTATATAAATAAACCTGACTTCTAAATCAAGTTATCCACCTTTGCTTCTGGTCCAGCTATATTTTGTTTATTTAAAGAACTTTTTTGTACATCATAGCCAATGTTGTAAATGTCATTACTTCAATCAAAAATATTTCCTCAACGAAAACAAATTGTTCAACCAGGATGACCAGCAGCTCACGGGATTAACAGAAGTGCTGAATTTTTTTGGCAACAAGTCAAGTCTGCTTTGTGGGTGGGAAAACAGCTCAGAGAGTCTGGTATTCACCTGCTTTCAAGGAGAAAACTCAGGTGATCCTGACCTCCCCTCCTTGACACCCCTTCTCCACCTAGTGCCAGATGACCAGGACTGAACAGCCCACCTCAGTGGACTGTTCAGTGGAAGGGGAAAGAACCTCCACCCTGGCCAAGGCAGCCTCCACTGTCCCCATGGCAACCGGCCACACTGCTGGTTTTGGTCACACAGCCAACATGGAAAGCATCTGTGGAGCCTGTCCAGTGCCCTCTCTGCAAATTTGCCCCCTGCTTCTTTCTCTCTTCCCGGCCTCCCTTGCTTCCTTGGTGCTGAGCAGAGCAGCAGAGCTGGTGTGTATTAATCTTTGGGCCGTTTCAGCATCAAGGGGGCAGGGGTGAGCACAGACAAGGAACAGGACTCTCATTCATATGCAGGGGCCAGGCGCCCAACGATCTTCTAATCCTGTTAAGCTCAAGAGGAATGAGGCATGCATAAATTGAATGAGATACAGTATTAAATTTTGCCAGCGACTGCACGATTAGCAGCCAAGACAGAGGCTCAGGGTGACCCAAAGGATTTTAGGGAGGGCCTCTCCTCTGTCCCTGGATGCTCTAGGAGCTGGAGGAGTAGGTGAAGAGAGAGAGAGAGAGAGAGAGAGAGAGAGAGAGAGAGAGAGAGAGACAGAAGGCAGGCAAGGGAGCTAGACTCAGTGTGTTCACGTCTATAAAATGCTCCCCTGGCTAATGTGAATTGAAGGGGAGGAGGGCTGGGGAGACCCCCACATCCCAGCCCCCACAGACCTGAAGGCTGTGTTAATGACCATGAGACTGACTCCCTCCTTCCTTTCAGAACTTGACCCTGTTCCGCCACCTCCCTAACCCTCCTTTATGCTCCCCCTCACACACATTACAGAATGTGGGCTAAAGCCTTCCTGCCTCTGCTCCTATTATAAAAGGTGCCTGACACCAGGAAAGGTACATCAGCCTACAAACCCCAGTGTTGCTAATTGCCACCTTTCATTTCCTGCAGGTTAAGGCACACATTCAATTTGATCTAAGTCTGCAGGATCTGAAAACATGTTCATCATCATGCTAACAGTCAACTTCTATTGATTTACTTAAACACTCAGATAAAGGTATCAATTCTCTGAAATATGGTGAGCTTTATTGACCAAATACACAGAAGTAATTTATTGGTGGTCAAAAAGTTTTAGGGAATTTTGTTTACAATGCTCAATAGTGGTTTTTGAACTCTTTGAAATCCTGGATCAAAGGAGATGGCGTAGCACAGTTCAGTGCCGACAGCTAGATACTCTGACTTGGACAGGAAGGCAGATCAGATCTGCCTCTCCTTGACCCAGCCCCATCCCAAGAGTGCTCTGAGAAGCTCCTGGAAACCCATGCTTGATACCTTAAAATCCTGCCCCCGAGGGGCTTGTTCAATCCCAAGTCTGGTTTGTGTCTCTGCCCCATTGCTTTGCTTCATTCATGCGAGCAAACATTATGGATATACAACAAGCTGGCATCACAAATTGAAAGGACATGATGGACTATTGGACAGATGGGATTAGAAACACTGATTTGCTATGTGGAGGAAAATAAAACAGATCCCCACTTCGCATACATATATGAAATGGGAACAAGATATTTGAACTGACTGAAACTGATCAGTTGGACACTAGGGTGCACAAAGTGTTCACACAAATCAACAGAAAAAAGACAGGACTCCCAATGGAAAAGTGAGCAAAATTCATAACTAGGAAACTCAGATAATAGATAATAGATAATAAAAACTCAGATAATAGATGAGAGATATTCAAAGATTTTTTTCCTTCAGAAGACCCATTTTATAATCTCATCTCCACTTTCTTTTTTGTTTATGGCACTTTTATCTTTTCTGGAAATTAGGATGAAGAGAGACGTGGGAGAGACACAGGATAAGGCTCAGCGCCTCCCTATCTGGACCTCAACACCTTGGACAGCCAGAGACTAGCAATGACCTTAAATGAACACCAGGTGGCGCGCTAGACTTCCTTAACTCTGCTGCTGAAATGAAAGATTTTCTTCTGGAAGGGCAGAGCTCATTTTCCGTGAATAATTAGGAAAAAAACAAAAAACAAAAAACCAAACCAAAAAGCATCTGACTTTTGAAACTTTAATCAGAAAGAACAAAATGTTTCCCCTAGATGTGTGAGGCTGAGGAACCTGAAAGTTTCCTTTTGAGGCAGTTCTTATATAACTCTTCAGGACTTCCTCATAAAGAATTCCTTTTCCTCTCTGAGGAAGTTGAAAGTTGGGGACTGAAGTTTCAAGACAAGGACTAGCACTTCTTCTCCCTTGAATACTTAGAGCCAGGATAAGTGGTTGCAGAGAAGCAAGACCAGTGTTAAGGGAGCAGGAAGGGGCGAAAGGAAGCTCTTTGGCTCAAAATCATTGTGTGGCAGGACATACTTCCTTCAGGTGCTGGTCTTAGTTTCTGGAATCTTGAGGTGTTGTTGCCAGAGTTTCACAAAGCAAGGACTGTGCCTTTGAGCCTTTGAGGTATCAGGCTGCATTCACTGACTTTTGTGATCTGGGGTCAGTGAGGTTAACCTCCCTGGGTGACATCCCATGGTGGGTGGAGTGCTTGGCCTCAGGCATTCTCCTCAACCAGAAAGAACTGGACGGTTGGGCAGTTCAGGGCCACAAGTCACTCCCCGTGAGTGAGGGATGGGAGTTGGTGGATTAGCTCCCCAGCTTCCTTGCCTTGAAGGCAGGGGGCAATTCTTAAGGGAGTCCCCATAACCTTCACCAGTTCATCTGCACACCCCTTGTGTCTTCCCTTTCTAGCTTTCTTCTTTCTCTTAGTCTGGCTTCCCGGGATCACCTTCCCAAGCCAAATGCTTTTCTCTGGTTTCACTTTTAAAGATTCCAAAAAAAGAAAGCAGGAGAATTAATGATATTTGATGAGCAGCTCAGATATTTTCAGAGTGCAATAATCAGAGAGAAAAAGACAGGGGCAAGGTAAAGGGACCCCAATGAACCTCTGGAAAACCTGGGGGAAACTCCTAGCTCTTTTCACAGGCAATAATCCTAAGAATCTCTGTTTGAAAAAATTGTCATTTTTGGCATGCAGAATCTTCACAACCATTTTGTGTGGTTTTCCTCAAAAACCACTGTGAATGAGAAATCCAGGTTGTTCAGTTTTATTATGGGAATGGAGACCCCACCTCATCTTGGATACCACCCAAGCAAGGTAAGAACCTGGCTGCTGACATAGTAACTGGGTGACCCTCTTTCCCCTGACCTCTTAATGGCTTCTAGATTTTGGATGCACACAAAATAAAAAGGGCTGAGACTCCAGGGACAAAGTCTCTCTATTTACATTTCAGAAGCTCCAGATGTATTTATTCTTTTGTGAAATTCAGTACTCAGCCTGCGCAGGCAAGCCTCTTAGCAAACAGTGTTGAGAGAGGTTAATGGCAGGTTTGTATGTTGCTCTTGCTTTATTTAGGTCCCTGGAAATGCAAGTGTCAGCACAAAGTATGTTTATGGTTCCATTAAATTGCCAGGAAAAAAAAAGCAAGACAATTGTAAAAAAAAAAAAAAAAAAGGTTGGGTGACTCAGCCTGAATAAATTAAGAAAGGATTTGATGCAAAACGTGGAATGAGCCAGAAGCTGCTCTGTTCTCCTGTTGAAAGTTTATGAACCCCACCCCCACCCCACCCTATTCTCTTTCCCTCTGTTTTCTGGGGGAGGAGTAGACTTCTAAATTTCCAGGGACCTTCTATCCTCTTTTCTAAAGCCTTTAAAAAGAGACATGAATTAAATATCCTTCTCCTGGAACATAATAATAATGTTCTAGGTGGAATACTTTTCCTGATTGAGATGTATTGTGCAAAAAAACTACACGCACAAAATAAAACCCCTAAAATGTTCTGAGCAGCTCTGAATATGGTTTCGATAATTTGTACACACCTCCTTATATTCTACAGTCTTTATTTGAATATCATTAAAATGCTAATTGATGTTGACACAAAAGAGTATAGACTGTACGGATCCATTTATATAAAGTTTAAAATTGGCAATAATCACTTTTTGCTTTCAGAAGTCAGGATGGTGGTTATTCTTGTGTCTGGGTAGTAACGGAGCAGGGTATGTGAAGAGCTTTTGGTAGGGGGGACTGGTAATATTTTCTTTCTTTTAAAAATTTAGTTATACATACAAGAACTGGGATGCAGGCTAGTGGTGCGGGGTGGGGGGTGAGAGGCTCCACCAGAGACAGAGTGGGGAGCAGAACAGGCAGATCTACTGGAATACACTGCTGACGGGAGCAGCAGGAGAAACAGGAGAGGTCTGCCGCGCCATTTGGGTCACCTCCCTGGCCAGGAACCGAACTCACACGGAAGTGACTGAGTGCGACCAGCCTCGTACGTAGTGCTGTGCCCTAATCTGTTGCACCACCTGGGAGGGCCCTGGCCTATCGATTTCTAATAAACTTATTTGTTGGCTTCTTCTGCTGCTTCCTGAAATTCTTTTTCTGCCAGACACCAAGGACCCTCTGGTGCCCCGATCCCCAATGATATTGCTGTGTTGGTTAAAATTTTTTAAATGTTTCCACTTTTCCTAACTCTACTAGATTAAGTCATGCACTAGTGGGAACTTTTGTGGAGCCGTGGCCAGGCTGGAGACCAGAGTGTGAGGCCCCTGGCACTGGCTGCCCCGCCGGCACCCTGACCCACAACATACCTGCGACCTTGGAGTTGTAAGCCACTCCGACCCCACAGATGTTGTTGTTGGCTGCGGCAGAAACTTCTCCTGCACAGCGGGTCCCGTGGCTGCAGAGAGAAATATAAGACAGCTAGATTCAGGTTCAAGAGACTTTTTAGGAGTTTCCTTAAATTCCATCCAATGGAAGCACTTCAGAGCTTTTATGTGGTGCCAGCTCACGGGCCACCCAACTTCCATCCTCGTGCCCCAAAGTCCCTGTCTTCTCTGTGTTGTCATCTTGATCGTGACTTGTCTCCACCACAGAGTTTTCTCGAACATGTTTCACCTTGAAATGTGATCTTTACTAAAAAATCGAAGTACCTTCCTGCAGAAACCACACTTAGAGGTTTCCGGTGAGAATGAAACGTACTCGAAGGCAGAGCTGCTTGGAACAGCGCTCACTTTTCGAAACACTGAAATTGTTTGCTGAGGTTTATTTCCAGGCTGGCTCATCCACAGTAAAGTCACTATCAGTTATGGGTTGCGGGCTACTTAGCTATTTTTTGGGAACATAGCTTCCTTTGAGGATGTGTTGAATGCTATAGATTCCTACCTTTTTCCAGAATAAAAAAACATACATGGGCAGCAATTTGCATGTTATTTTCAAGGAGCCCACAGAACCCTGAAGCCTGAGCAGATGAAGAACCCCAGGCACTTCTCTGGTAATCTTTCCCAGGTTTGTATTGCTTCACAATTCCCAGCAAGTCCTTTCCTGGCTTCCTGTTCTAGAATGTTCTCGGCACAGATATTGTATTAATTCCATTAATTCTTTCCCCATCTTCCTCTTCTAGAATGTTCTCTGCACAGATATTGTATTAATTCCATTAATTCTTTCCCTATCTGCTTGTGCACTTTTCCCTTATACCAAAGGATTCCAAACAGTTCTTCTCTCCTGGAGTGGGCCTCGACCCACAGAATACAGTAGACGTGATGGAGGCTAAGTAGAAAAATTAGAAAGGAGGCCTCACAAGACCAGAAACTGGAGGTGGGGGCCACAATGATTAACATGGTTGCTAAACCAGCTATAGAGAGGAAAACCCCTTGGGCACCAGCTGCTGCCGTGAGTATCAGACTGCTATAGAAATTGTCTGGAGCTGTAGGCCAGAGGTGGGGAGATGAAAATGGAGGCCATTACAATCACCTGTTCTTATAAATCAACCTGGCCGCACCCTAGAACTTATAATCTAACAACAGATAATGATTGCACAAGGAATGGACCCGTCCCCAAAAGAAGAACACGGATCAGTGCAATATTTGCTTTGACAAGAGGCAGCTCTCCTGCCTGCATGACTGCAGGTGTTTCTTTTCACAAACTTTTTCCCTTTGCAAAGCAGTAACAGCTCTTCCTGCCCACTTGTGCCTGTGCCAGCCTCTTCTCCTTTCCTTTTTTAGTATAATGAACCTGTCTTTTTGGATACAACCAAAAATCTTTGCCTCATGAGGACATGCGCCGTGTGCTGCTGAGAGGGGAAGGTTGGTGAAACTTTTTTCAGAGGTAACACTGGACCCTGTTCTCTGAATCCCACGTCTCCAAAGTGACATCAGAAAGATGATACTGAGCTTTCAGATTCATCTGCCTATGCCAGGATCCAATCAGCGGGACGGGCCCAAGAATGGACAGGACCGTGGAGAGAGACGCCTGAAACCTCTATTGTCCCAGCACCTGAGGGAGTTGTGGGGCAATGAGAAGGGGAGGCACCTCCCTCCAGGCCCAGCCAGGACTTTCCATCTCTCCTGCCCTCTCCCTTCTCTCTATCAGTAGCGTATGCACAGGCTACAGGACTGTAAGCGAATAAATGCTGGATTTGAGGGGAACCGCATAGTTTTAGGATATTTTGTTAACCAGTGATAGAGATTCGAGAGAATCAAAACAGTTGATGAGGATGATACATTTGAACCCCAAATGGCATTCGAGAAGTGGGAGACTCCATGCTAGAAGTCATCTGTCACTACTGGCTCCAACCCTCAAAAGTCTATTTTAATGGTCCAGGAAGCAGCTAAGAGATTACACGGCTCACCTTACCATGTTTGCTGGAAGCAGTGTGAGCATGGCCTGCCTAAGGGGTGGGGCTGAGGGCTGACTGGCCTGCTCTGTTCAGGCTGGTGGACAGAAAGGTACTGAGCTCAGGGGATCACCAGCTGCACAGCTCCAGTTTTTATTTCAGCAGCATTGAGTAAGGTGTTGTTTGCAATCTCCCCTTGGGGTAAGAAAATGTTTTGTGCAGCCCTTCAAACATCACATCCAAAAAGTACATGTATACATGTGTATATATATATATTTTAAAAATTTATTTATTTATGCATACAGAACTGGGGTACAGGCCAGAGGTGCAGGGGCGGCGAGAGGCTTCACCAGAGACAGAATGGGGAGCAGAACAGGCAGATCGATGAAGTACACTGCTGAGGGGAGCAGCAGGCGGGTCAGGAGAGGTCTGCCACGCCATGTGGTCTCCTCCGGGGCAGGCGGGAATTAAACTCATGCAGAAGTGGCTTTAGCTTCTCAGTGCTGTGCTTTAACCCGCTGCACCACCAGGGAGGTCCTACATGTGTATATTTTTATTCTCTATATGGGAAAAAGTAACTCTTGCCTCTATTCAGGCTGCATATCTTGGTCTCCAGATTCCCTTCAGAACCAGATGAAATCTGTGTATTGTGTCCAAGTAAACTTGGTAGTTACTGCAGAAGTGGCCTGTGGTAAAGAATCCTTGGAATCATAGTTCTGAGCAAACCATCAATCACATCTGATATTTTTGAGAAGGTGCTAAATTCTGCTTTCACTTGGTGAAAAGCAGAATTTGTGTCTATCGCAAATTGGCTTTCAGGGCTACATGCTTATTCCAAGTACTGGAGAAATTGCAAAATAAAATTCTGGAAACAACATGGAAGTGCATAATGTATATTATAGACATGTAATGAAGATACACAAGTTTTATTTTGAAATATATTTTACATGTATATATTTGAATATATATTTCTACTTATATGTACTTGTATGCTTTTTTTTTTTTTTTAAGGATTTATTTATTTGTGCATACAGAGCTGGGGTACAGGCCAGAGGCTCAGGGGCGGTGAGAGGCTTCACCAGAGACAGAGTGGGGAGCAGAACAGGCAGATCTACGAAGTACACTGCTGAGGGGAGCAGCGGGCGGGTCAGGAGAGGTCTGCCACGCCATGTGGTCACCTCTGGGGCAGGCAGGAATCGAACTCACGCGGAAGTGGCTTTAGCTTCTCAGTGCTGTGCTTTAACCCGCTGCGCCACCAGGGAGGGCCACTTGTATGCTTTTAATTATCCACTCATATATTTTTATATTATTTATTTTTATATTATTCTATATATTAAATATATAGAATATATTTAAATATGTACTTATATAAAATGTATATACTTTTACAAAAATAGTAAATACAGTAAAAAATTAAAATATGTATAAAAAAGTAAAATATGTACTTATACAAAATACTCTATATAAAGCACATACATATGCATTGTATATATGTATATATGTGTGTATTGTATATATGTGTATGCACATATCATACACACATTTCATGTGTGTGTATATACTCATATATGTACATATAAAGAATATGTGCATGCATGTGTGTTGAAATGAAACTTAAGTGGATATTGATTAAATTTGACTTTCTTGCTATTTGGTTCTTGCTAAACAAAAATTTAAATGAAAGTTTAAAAATCAATGCCATGTCTAATTTGATGAAACACGGAGTTAGTAGTCAGCCCTGTCAAGATCTCCTTTCTGAGACCTGAGATGTGCAGCGAGGCCTTGCCTGGAGTCAGTTCTTTTCCTGTGAGGAACATAGAGGCACCGAGGGATGCCATGCTGCGTGGGACTCTCTCGGTGACTGATGAAGATGAGAGCCATCTGGGGATACAGGGAGGCTACCATGCCAGGAACTGTGCCTGGGCTTCTCTTGCCTCACCCCTTTGCTCCTCACACGAAGCATTATCAGGTGCTGCTGTATTTTACAGATGTCAAAGTTGAATCTCAAAGCAGCTGGCCCAGAGATGTACAGTGAGAGGGTGATTGGGCCATATCTGACCCAACTATCAGTTAAACATTCCACTACCCTCTGTCCCTGCCCTCATGAAAGGTTAGAGGACAAATACATTGCACTGGCTTGAGCAATTCAAAGCCTTTGAATCATGTCTCCTTAGCCTTAACGTTGGTCTTTAAGTGGGGAGATGAATGTCCTGGACTCTCTGGAGGAACATATGGGAAGAAATGTTTCATTGCTAAATTAGGCGACACTAATTAATTATAAGCAATGAGTGGAGGCGCCCTATAATTGTTCATGACACCACATCTTTTCACAACCCTAGGTCTTCATGGGCTCTGTTCCTATCGCTTTGAATGCATTCCCTTCTCGCTTGTCCTCCTCGTTGTCTCCGGCAAACATGCTTGTTCCCCTGAGCATTAGGAAAATCTGTGTCCAAATCCATTTCATTTGGTCACTTTCTTGAAAATGCTTCATAGTTCCTTGCTATAATAACCCATGTACCTGTCGGACGTGGGGATAGCTATAGGGCCAAGGGGTAAATAATGACTTTTTGACTAGCCACCTTCTAGTGAAGGTCAAGGAGAGGCAAGTGACAGGACTCAGGGGAATATTTTGTGGCCAAAATGTCCCCAGTCCACTGCTCTCCTGGGTCCATGCCGTGAAGTATGATTTTCCTTGCTTCTTCCTTGAAGAGGTGAAGTACATTTCTCCCTCCCTTGCCTCCGGCTGGCCTTCTGGCTTGCTTTGGTGGAATGAATGCAGTAGAAATAATGAGCTTAGTCTTCAAGAGCTTAAGTGGCTTCTCTTTTTTCTCTTGATACCAGGCCTATGTGCCTCAGGGGCAAGCCTGGTTAGCCCATTGAATAAGCAAAAATACACAACCCATCACACCTGTCACCCAACTGACAGCCTCAGATCCTTTAGACATGTGGGTGAGGCCAACCTAAACCAGGGTGCTCAAGTTACCTGCCAGCTGAATGTGGGTGCATCAGAGAGCCCAGTTGTAAAGCAGAGCCTGGGCCAGGTCAACAGACCCATCCTACCGACC